TGAGCCTGTGCTCTAGAGCCCGCGAGCCACAGCTACTGAGCCCACGTGCCACAACTACTGAAGCCCACACACCTAGACCCTGTGCTCCTATACAAAGACAAGCCAACCCAATGAGAAGCCCGCACACCACAACGAAGAGTAGCCCCTGCTAGCCGCAACTAGAGAAAGCCCACGTGCAGCAATGAAGACCCAACACAGCCAAAACATAAATAAATAATAAATAAATTTATTTTTAAAAAAAGAAATTATATGGAACTCCTAAAAATCGGGTATATCCTGATAAAATGTTATCAATTATAATTCTAGTTAACATCTTAAAATGTTGTGTGTCACAACGGTAACGAAGTTTGTCAATTGCATTGTAATCAGGTCTTTAACCACGCCTTTCAAAGTCTTTTGTCATTTATAGATAGTTATTGTTTTACTCAGATGCTTTTGCAAAAATGCTCCATCTTCAAGAAGATTCATATAAAGGGCTTTTGGACAAGTACAGGTTTCTGATCACTTTCAGGTCATACTGCTGAGCTGGGTAAGAAATTAAAGAATTCTTTAACCTGGTGACTTCATAAAGCTGTTAAAAGAAGATTAAGGATTAGTCACATAGACTGAGCAACCTGATGAGTATGGTTATAATTTTTTGGGTTTTTGTCTGGAATATTACTGGTTTTTAATCTGTGTTTTCCAGATATAAGGAAACCCTTCCCCTTAAGCGACTTATGACTTAAATTTGGTAAATTATACCTTTGTAATTAGAACTGAAACATTTATCTTTTCTTTCTACCTGATCCCTCCAGAAACTGGAAACTCTTAAGTTCCCAGCAGCCTTTCCAGGTGAACAAGGAAGGCCACCTCCTGACAGGTGCAAGAATCTCAAGATATTTGGGGGACCTCTAGAAGAAAGGAATCCACCCAAATCTGTAGATATTACAGGCAGAATCTGATAACAAGACCTTGGCATGGCTTTCCTGGCCTTGAGAGGTCTTTTATTTTTATTTTTATTTATTTATTTATTTATTTCAGTACGCGAGCCTCTCACTGCTGTGGCCTCTCCCGTTGCGGAGCACAGGCTCCGGACGTGCAGGCTCAGCGGCCATGGCTCATAGGCCCAGCCGCTCCATGGCATGTGGGATCTTCCCAGACCGGGGCACGAACCCGCGTCCTCTGCATCGGCAGGCGGACTCTCAACAACTGCGCCACCAGGGAAGCCCAGAGAGGTCTTTTAAAAGTTCAATTTGAGATTCTTTATAAAAAGTTCCAGCACAGCCATATTGTAAGAACCCGTATGATCAATTACACTTACGGAAATAATCAGGCCAAGTTTATTGAAACCAGACTTATTTTGCAAATTAAGTAGTCTTAATTTGGCTATATCATTGGTAGAAATGAGGGTAACTTTAGAGAGAAAAATATTACATTTCAGTGAACATTAAGTTCTAGTGTTGTTGTCTTTAAGGGTGTTTTTGCTTTTGTTTTGTATTTACTACCTAAGAATCACTTCCCAGATGGCTCCTTGTTGCTATGTTACATTACCGTAAAGTTTAACTGGATTATATTAAAAGGACATTCTAAGTTTGTTTCTGAATCTTATCACAATAATCTATCTTTGGATGAAGATCAGATGCCCCATGAACTTCGAAAAGGAGATTATGCATACTGGAAAAGGCATCAGATAAAGGATTCTTTACAGCCAGGTTGGAAGGGACCTAACAGTCCTCCTCTCTTGAATTGACTGCAACTCCTGTTTCTGACACCCTACTTCAACTAAGACCAGCACTACCAGACCAGGATGAGGAGACAACAAACGTCTGAAGTAGACGCCTGACCCAAGATGGTATACAAGACCAGGCTCGTATACCAATTACTTTGACAATTGTTCACACTTTTGCTTATGAACCAAATGTATTTCTCCCTTTGGCTCAAGGTCAGCTGTGGGTAGTTTTGGAGACAGTCCCTGCCAATCTGCCTGTAATGTGAGCACACCGGGTTTGATCGATTTTCCAATGGTATGACCACCTGGTGGCAATATTTGTTCCTTCACTTGGAATAGAATATAACATTAACCACAGAGGCTTTAACAAAATTTACTCAGCAAGCTTTGAATGGTAGTCATCAAGCCATTAGCTTGCTTGATTCAGAAGTCTTCATGATGAGAAAATCAGTCCTGCAGAATCGTATAGCCCTAAATATTCTCTAACTGCTCTCCAAGGGGGAACGTGTGTTATGACACACACTGAATATTGGGTTTTTATACCTGATGAATCTTCTAACATAATTCATCTTAAGATACATATGAAGAATCAAATTTCAGCTCTGAAGAATCCTCTTCCCAATGTAGGGGAGATACTAGGAAAATGGTATGGTTTAGCAGGATCTTTGCTTAAACCTTTACTAATGACATTGTTACTGTTATTGTCAATTTTGATTACAGTTTGTATAACATAGAAAGTGATAGTTTTTTGGGACTTCCCTGGTGGTCCAGTAGCTAAGACTCAGGGCTCCCAATGCAAGGGGCCCGGGTTTGATCCCTGGTCAGGGAACTAGATCCCACATGCATGCCACAACTGAGAATTTGCATGCTGCAACTGAGAATTTGCATGCTGCAACTAAGAAGTCTGCATGCCACAACTAAGACCCAGGGCAGGCTAAATAAATAAATATTTTTAAAAAGTAAAGTGATAGTTTCTTGCCTTTCGGTCTGTGTATCACCTACTTCTATTAAGATGATATCTAAACGACTTGAAACTATTGCTCACACCTATAGTTCTCTATAAATTAATGAACATGCACAATGCACATGCAAGGTAAAATTGGCATAAGTCCTATTGGACAAATTGGAATTCACCATTAGTCCTTGCCAAATATCTTACTAGTGCAACCCCTAAAGGGAAAGAAAGAACTGGGTTTACTAAGACCCAACATTGAGGGACATGATGGACTCAGGGCAGGTAAGCAGCCACCCTGATATTGAGGGACCAAATATTTGACCACCTAATGCTTTCTATCAAAAGATTAATGATCAAAAGGGGGAAATTGATGAAATAAAATTCATATTTTATGGCAAGACAAGAAAAATTTAAATATAAAAATTTTCTCTGCCTGTTTGGGTTTCCTCCCTCCCCCGTAGTGTGCATTGTGCATTTGCATTAACCAGACCTCCTTAGTAGATAACATTCCTTCTTAATCTTGTAAAGGTCGAAATGACCCACCACATTCTTAACTTCTTAGGAGACAAGCTTCCTTCTTAATCCTGTAAGGGGTCACGATGACCCACTACTCACTTTGAACATGTAGATCTGAATTGTGTAAACTGTCAATATGTCATTTGACATAAAACCCTTTTTCTCAAAATATCTTACATAAGTGTGCTTTGACCTCTAACAGACAGAACAGTCCTCAGAGCTTTATGAAAGACTGTCTCCCAGGTTATAATCCTCAGGTTGGTTCAAATAAAATTTTCCATCTGTTTCTTAGATTGACTGTTGATTAATGTTTTTCATTGACAGAAGTTATTTTGATAACTGACAACAATGCAAAAGTAATTCTTGTCGACACACAAGCAAATGAACCTGTCCGGGGAGTGTTTGTGTTAATCTGCTCAGGCTGTTACAACAAAGTACCACAGACTGGGTGGTTTAAACAACAGAAGTTTATTTTCTCACAGCTCTGGAGGCTGGAAGTTCCATGTCAAGCTGAGAAGGGTGGGTTTCTTCTGAGGCCTCTCCTTGGTAAGTGGATGGCTCTCTGCACACACATCTCTTTGTCTCTTTGAGTGAACACATTTCCTCTTCTTAAAAGAACACCGGTCAGATTGGATTAGGACCCACCCTAATGGCCACATTTTTTTTTGTTTGTTTTAACCTAATCATCTCTTTCAAGGTCCTGTCTCCAAATACAGCCAGTCACATTCCGAGGTGCTGAGGAGTCAGGGCTTCACCATGTTAATATAGGGGGAGACACAGTTCAGCCCCTCCACCCAGAAAGCCCAGTTTTGCATCTGTTTGCACATTCATATCACCGTTCCTGCTCTATATGTGTGTTTGTCATTGGGCTTCTCCCTGGAGCGGGTCCTAACACCTGCCTGGGCCCCTGCCTGTGGGGTAAGTAGACTCTTTCATACATGCTCCTCTGTCTATCTGAGCCACAATTCACCTTGGGAAGCCATTCCTTTACAACTCACTGGTTAACCGTAAGTCCCAGGAAACCAAGTTTGTATGTCGGGCAGGGCTTTTCTGGTGATATCCTAACAGTGGCTTCTTTTCCAGGGTGTGTGACTGAATGTCATTTGCAGACACCGTCTGGCAGCTCAGCTCCTCTGCCAGCCTTCCTCACTATTCTGCTTTGATTGTATTTTTGCTTATGGTTACCTACGTCTAAACGTTCTCTTACTTAACTGTTTACGTGACACGTGTGTGGGTCCCTGCTGTGTGCCAGGAGCTTCTCTAGGCCCTGGGGACTCAGCCCCTGTCCTCCTGGAGCACACCTTCTGGTGGGGAGGAGCAGCAACAGACAACCCTCCCCCAGTGTCGGGCGATGACAAGTGCTGTAAGGAACAACAGGGAGTAGAGTGATAGATGGTCCTGCTTCCAACAGGGTGGCAAGGGACAGTCTCTCTGAAGGGCTGATGTCTGAGCAGAGCCTAAGCAGAGAGCAAGTATGCCAGGCAGAAAGAGGCAGGTGCCAGGGCCCCAGGCAGGCACAAGCCTGAGAGTCTGAACAATGCCCAGGAGGTCAGATGCTGGCTGAGGGGTCGTGGAGCCAGGTAAGGACCCTGGGTTTAACCCTAAATGCGACTGTCAGCCCCCAGAGGGCTGGCTGGTTCGACTTAAGCTCTGCTGTGTGGAGAGAGGCAGACAGGAGGGGTCAGGAGAGCCGCTGAGGGCTGTGCAGTCAGGGTCCCGCAGAAGTGTGACAGTAGCTGGGGAGGAAGTGAGAGGTGGTCATCCCGGGAGCATGTTTTGAAGCTTGGGGTGTGAGGCAAAGACAAGACTCAGGGACGACTCGTGCTCACTCTGGCAGCACATATATGAAAACTGAAACGATAGAGAGGAGATTGGCGTGGCCTCTGCACAAAGATGACATGCAAATTCGCGAAGTGTTCCATATATTTAGGGGAATATAGCCAATATTTTGTAATAACTGTAAATGGAAAGTAACCTTTAAAGTTGTATAAAAGGGACTTTCCTGGTGGCACAGTGGTTGAGAGTCCGCCTGCCGATGCAGGGGACACGGGTTCGTGCCCCGGTCCGGGAAGATCCCACATGCCGCGGAGCGGCTGGGCCCGTGAGCCATGGGCGCTGAGCCTGCGTGTCCGGAGCCTGTGCTCCACAACAGGAGAGGCCACAGCAGTGAGAGGCCCGCGTACCACAAAAATAAATAAATAAAAATCACTATAAAAATTTTTTTAAAACACACCACTGGACAGTGGATTAATGCAAAAGTGGAAAACAGTGACCCATGGACCAAATCTGACCCACCACTTGGGCCAGTTCCAATAAAGTTTTTTTTTTTTTAGTAAATTTATTTACTTATTTATTTATTTATTTTTGGCTGCGTTGGGTCTTTGTTGCTGCACACAGGCTTTTCTCTAGTTGTGGCGAGCGGGGGCTACTCTTCGTTGCGGTCCGCGGGCTTCTCATTGTGGTGGCTTCTCTTGTTGTGGAGCACGGGCTCTAGGCGCGTGGGCTTCAGTAGTTGTGGCTCATGGGCTCTGTAGTTGTGGCTCGTGGGCTCAAGAGCACAGGATCAGCAGTTGTGGCGCACGGGCTTAGCTGCTCCATGGCACATAGGATCTTCCCGGACCAGGCCCGAACCTGTGTCCCCTGCATTGGTAGGCAGATTCTCAACCTCTGCACCACCAGGGGAGTCTCCCAATAAAGTTTTCTGTTCTTTTTTTTTAACATTTTTATTGGAGTATAATTGCTTTATAATGGTGTGTTAGTTTCTGTTCTACAACAAAGTGAATGAGTTATACATATACATATATCCCCATCCCCAATAAAGTTTTATTGGAACACTAAAAATAAAAACAGGGACAACTCAAGTTTGGACCAGAGCAGCACCTTTGATGGAGATGTTCTTTCCCAAGTCCAGAAAGCCTGGGGCAGGAATTGGGGCCATGCTGGGTGCCTTATGTTTGAGATACCACCTGGAGAGCCCAGAGGAAACAACAGCTGTATGCTCTAGAGTCAAGAGCACAGGGATGACATTTAAAGTCATGGCAACAAGGTGTCTTGGAGTGGAAGCAGGGAGACCGAGGCCCAGCCTGAGCCTGGCATTGCAGCTGTGAAGCCAGGAAAAGGGGAGAAGCCAGGAGAGTCAGGGGTGAAGGTGGGGTCCACATGCCAACACCAGGGCTTGAGTGTGTGTGTGTGGATGGGTGGGTGGGGTGCCCAGACCCTAAGGAAGATGAAGGCCCTGGGCAACCTGACCCCCTGTTGTAGAGCAGAGGGGACAAACGACCCCTGGAGGGCTGCTTCAGTGCCCATCGTGCCCCTGCCAGAGGATCTGGCTCCTCCCACAGGGATTGGTCTTCCCAACTCAGTGGTTGGGGGTGATGACATGTGCAGCCCTCTCCCTGGGGCGGGAGCTGTCCCCAATCCTCTCTCTCCCCCTGGGGGCAGGGAACTGTCCCAGACCCTCTCCCTGGAGTGAAGAGCTGTTCCAGGATCCCCCAAGGCTCCTCCACTGGTCAAGCCTTGCCAGTGGTGCCCAGACTGGGAGGTGGGTTTTGAGGACCTGGGCAGGGCCATCAGTTCTCATCAAGGTCACCCCAACCCCTGCCTTTATCTGTTTTACTTCTCAAGTTGTTCAGAGGAACTTGTTTCTTGGACCCCCAGGGACCCCTCGTACCCTCTTTTCTCTCTCTCTTCCCATCCACACCCTTGCTAGAGCCATTCCCTGCCCCCAGCGCAGGGGTGCTCGGGGTCAGAACCCCTCCCGGGGCATTTATAAAATATGACGCCCGGCCCCATCCCAGACAGCGGGATCACGGCGGGGGAGGCGTGTCCCAGACAGCGGGGTCACGGCGGGGGAGGCGTGTCCCAGACAGCAGGATCACGGCGGGGGAGGCGTGTCTGGGGCTTGGAAGCTCCTGGCTGGTCCCAATGCACCCACAGCCCCAACTACTTGCTCCCTGCCCACCCGGCACTCGTACCCGTCTTCCGGAGCAGGGCTCTCAAAGCCAGCCCTGGTCTAGAGCCTCACCTGGAACTTGGAAAGGCACACTTGGCAGACGGCCTGACTCAGAAACCCGGGGTTGGACCCCGACAATCTATGCTCCGATACCCCCGCGGGGGAACAATGACGCAAGCACAAGTTTGAGAACCACGGGCCTAGACCAGGGGCCAGCAAACCATGACTCAAGGGCCAAATGTGGCCCAGCTGTCCCCGCAAATGAAGCGTTATGGGGACAGTCACGTCCACACACTTATGTGCGGTGTGGGGAGCGGCCGGCGGAGAACCGGTGGCCACGTGGTGGCTGGCCTTCCGGTGGCAGATGGGGACCCCCCTCCACTCAGCCCACCCACTGGGGCAGGCTTTCGTCCCTGGTCGTCGCCTCCGCCCTCACGGGTCTCGAGCAGCAGTCCGAGGGCTCAGCCTCTGCAGACAGACACGTGGGGACTCCATGGGGGCAGAGCAGCCGCGGGTCCTGAAGGTATGGTGGGCACTGGGGAAGCAGCCCCCCACCAGTCCTCTGGGAAAAGCGCACCCCCTCTCTCCTGAGGCCCTGGCAGACACCGGGGGGCCACAGACTCCCTCAGCTTCTCCCCCTTTCACAAAGCCATCCGAGGGGCCAGTCACTGCGGGACACCCTCACGAACACGATTCCTTCGGCCTGGGACGCACCTGTGTGTCACGTGAGACCCCTGAGGCTCCCAGAGGCTCCTGTGGCCAGTGAGCAGGGCGGGCCTGTGGACAGCACGTGGGGGCAGCAGCAGGCACTGGCTCAAATGGCTGCAGTGGCGACTGAGGGCCGTCAGGTGGGAATGACGAGGTAAGGTGATTTTTAAGGCAAGAAAAGAAAAAGTTAACATAAAATTTTCTCTGCCGTTGGCCCCCTTCAGCACGCCCTGTGCGTCTGCATCACCCACTAACTAGACACCCCCCGCCGCGAGACACGCCCAAAAGGCCGGTTCCCCCGGCGCCAGCAAAGTCACTCCTTAGGAGATAACATTCCTTTCTCAATCCCATAAGGGGTCACGATGACCCACCACTCCCCTTGCTGGACTCTGTAAAGTGTCCACATGTTACCTTGACGTATAACCCTTTGTCTCAAAAACATATACAACTGTGCTTTGACCTCTAAGGGGAGGAACAGTCCTCAGAGCTTCTGAAAGACTGTCCCCACGTTAGAATCCTCAGGTTGGCTCGAATAAAATTTTCCATTTTTTCTTAGATTGAATATGGATGAATGTTTTTGTCAACAGGAGGCTCGAGAACAGAGCAGGGAGAAGAGCTGCACCTGGGACACGGCGGGAGGCGCGGGAGGGAGAGGCGCCAAAGAAGCCCTCCCGATGGGGGATGGGAACCGGGGAGAAGAGTGGGGAGCCTCTTCGGCTAAGCCCAAATGGGCTAAGCCCGGCTCGGGCCTTCCTCCCAAATGCTGCGGCTCTACACACCCACCGTTGACACGCTCCTGCCTGAGCCCGGTCACTGGGGGCAGCAGCTGTTCCCACCCCGGGACTCAGCCCCGGGAGGGTGGCAGCAGGCTCCCTGGCATGCCCACCCAGGCCGCTGGTAACTGCACACCGGACTCAGGCCTTGCCTCTCACCGCCTCGGGACACTCTGAGCTGTCACAGGGTAGCCCACTGCTCTGGGGACAAAGGGCGGTGTGGAGGACGAGGGACGGGCTAGAAGGGACCCAGGGTGACCCGGGCACCAGGCTGAGCCTTTCTGAGCCATGCAGAGGGTGGTGTCGGGCTGCAGGGCAGGGCCCTGCGGGGATGCGGGGTGTGGCTTGCAGAGAGATGCCACTCTTCCTTTCACTTGAACACTTAGGGGCCTTTCTAGGGGGATTAACTGGCCTGATTTCGTGCTGTCATGACGCAGGGGATGGGGGGGCCTGGGGGGAAGAAGCGGGCGGGGGGGGGGGGACGCCGGTCAGCAGTCAGAACACAGGCACATCCGTCCATTAAGGTTGCCGGCTGACATGGGTGCAGTTCAAGGCGCCCCAAAACAATGACAACGTAACTTCAAAGGTCACAGGTCACCATAACAAATACGGTAATAATAATAAAGTTTGCGATACTGAGAGAATTACCAAAACGTGACAAAGTGAGCAAATGCTTCCGGGAAAACAGTGCCAACAGACGTGCTGACGCAAGGTCACCACAAAGCTTCAGTTTGTAAAAACACACGGTATCTGCAAAGGGCAACAAAGCAGCGTTGGCCTGCAGTGTCCACCCACCGGGAGCTGCACTGATGTGAGTGGTCCGTGATGAGGGCGCCCCCTCTGGCCTCCTGACCCCGTTTCAGTGAGGTTTCCCTCCATTAATCTTCACACCCCTTTTGGACTAATCTGGTGTAAGCACCATGTTTCCCTGAGTTCTGCGAGCCGCTTTAGCAAGTTAATTGAACCTGAGGAGGGGGTCACGGACACCTTGATCTACAGACGGTCAGTCAGAAGCCCAGGTGACAACTGAGCCTTGTGACTGGGGTCTGACGTGTGTGTGAGGCGGGGGGACCATTCTGCAGGGCTGATCCCTGGACGTGAGAGCTGACGGGACGTCCCAGGCACCTGCTGAGGCCCAGGGATTGCTTGCTGGAGGTGAGGAGGAAAACACCCCGCCTGGAAACTGGTACAAGGAGCCGAAAGGGACCAAGTGGATGCCTTGCACGCGAAGACCGTGCCACGCGTGTGACCAGGGGCTCTGGGAAGAGTAGGCCGCTGTTGCCCTCCCACTCCCCGGAGGGTCCAGGCGCCCTGCAGGAGCCCCACCCCTGCCCCCAGTCAAGGAGGTGTGAGGCGTGGCCGGGCCCTGGGGTAGGCTGATTGGGGGGTGCTCTTGGGACGCAGCCCTGCAGGGGAGGGAGGTCCAGCCCCAGGGAGACCCCAGCCAGCCCAGGGCCTCGGGGCCGGCCTGCACAGCTGTCTGGATTTCAAGAGA